TCATTTTTTACGAGCATTTTAAAAAAGTGGTAAAAAAATAAATTTTCTAAAAATCAAATATTAAAATTTTGCAACGGTAGTCGATTCAATTAATCGCGCCGTTCGCGATTCTGAATTTCGCGCGTTAGTTCTAAGTATTGAGAGAGAGAGAGGGCGCGCGATCTTTCAAATTAGCAGTTACGTCTCAGCTGTTGTGACAAGTAGATATCGCCGAAGTTATTTGCACTGTTTTTTCTCGCCGACTAATAATTACTGGTCCATAATAATTACGCGCGTGAGTGCAACAACGAGACCTACAGATTGCAGCGTTTTGGTAGCAGCAGATTTGCAGCTGATAGGTGGTACGAGGCAGCACAGCTGATAACCTAGGACCGGAGGCAGTTGATATTTTGCTGACATCAACAATTACGGCTGATCACCGTAATTGCACCGCAGGGTAGGTGCACCTCCCTTTATTATCGCATGTCAAAATATATTTATTATTTTGCTCAGCCGCGTTAGCGTTGATAATTCTGTATTCGCGCCGAGCGTTAGATCGCGCCAATATTCGAATCTTCTCTCTCTCTCTTTCTCACCGGAAAATTATTTAATTGTAAATCCTATTCGCGTGCGTCAGTCTTTCGGCCCGACAAAGACTGTATAGATTTTTTATGAATAAACTTTGTTAACTCATTCGCCGATTTCGTCATATGATTTTCCTAATAGTTTAAGAAATTGAAATAGGCTTAGGTGTTAATCCTATTACGCCTAGGGGATTAAGCGGAGAAGGAGTAAAGTCGCTCACACTTCAAACTCATCGAGTGTCACGATACATGTGACTTAAGGTGAGTTCAACTCCGTTTGATAGAAGACAACAAAGAGAAATCATCTGACGTTAAAGCGAATACACGTACTTACATACGTGATTAACGGAGCGGCGGTTTACTCTGCATCGTGGGAGTTTGCTTATAAATAAATTCCCCATTTTTGCAAGGATTCCCCCCCGTTACAATTTAAAAAAATGCTCTATATTTTCTAATTTTTTTACTTAATATGTTATTTATAGCTTATTTTACTCTATTTCTTATACTCTTTCGAATGCGCCATGCAGAATAAAAAAATATTGAAAATTGGCGGGAAAAACTCAATTTTTCGAAAAAATTTCAAACTCAATTTTCTCAAAAAAGCCATCGTTTTTTTTTTCAAATTTTTATGATAGATTAAGCATTACAAGACCTTTAAATTGGTATAGGAGTGATAGCGTACTTTTACGTTTTAGTGATAAAATATCGATTTTTCGTTTTTTTTTTCCCCAAAACATTGATAATTATAGTTTTGACATGTAAAACTTATTTACATATATGTTTTATGTGTATTATATAGATATGAAATACATTGTGAATGTTCAAAAAAATCATTACAACAAAATTTAAAAAAAAAACACTTTATTTTTATGAAAAGTTTCAAAATGAACTCATTTATTCAAGTAATAAAAATTATATTTTTTATTTTCTAGACTTTTTAATTTTTCTGTTTTTAGTTTTTTTTATTTTTTTGCTTACTAAAACTGAAGCCTTCTTCTTCTTTTGTTTCTTCACACACATTATCAAACGGTTCAAATTTAATTCAATAATTCAATCATCAATAATCATCATCAATATCAATATCAATAATATTATCATCAATATCAATATCAATATCAATAATAATCATCATTCAATAATTCAATAATTATTAATGTTTTGGGCAAAAAAAAAAACGAAAAATCGATATTTTATCACTAAAACGTAAAAGTACGCGATCACTCCTATACCAATTTAAAGGTCTTGTAATGCTTAATCTATCATAAAAATTTGAAAAAAAAAAACGATGGCTTTTTTGAGAAAATTGAGTTTGAAATTTTTTCGAAAAATTGAGTTTTTCCCGCCAATTTTCAATATTTTTTTATTCTGCATGGCGCATTCGAAAGAGTATAAGAAATACAGTAAAATAAGCTATAAATAACATATTAAGTAAAAAAATTAGAAAATATAGAGCATTTTTTTAAATTTTAATATTTGATTTTTAGAAAATTTATTTTTTAACCACTTTTTTAAAATGCTCGTAAAAAATGATGTAGAGGTCTAATCGAAAAAAAAAAAATACGTGTCGGCTTATTTTTGAAGTAGAATAACATACTCAACAGCCGAGTCAATCGGAGATATCATTGCCGTAGGCCTGCCCGATCTGAAATGGATCCGGTCTCTTATTTTCTTTAATAAATATTTTCGTACATTTGTACTACAAACATCTTAAATTTACCTTTGAGACCGGAATAGATAATAGTATTAATTTCATAGATTTATCTATGAAATTCATGATAAAAAATAATAATAAACTATTCTATTCTACACTTATTCCCCTATTCTACAATCGTTCATAATATCGGTGTCACTATTTCAAATACTGTTGACTGGAAACTTCATGATTATACAATCCTTAGAAATATCTATGCTTTATTACACTCATTAGAAGTTTATACAATATCCCGATGTTTTATTTTGAAAAAAAAAAATACGTAAAGGCTTCCCACATTTCGAGTATTGCTCTATAACTTATCAAGAAGTAGATAAAATCAGATTATCTGATCTGCAAATTGCACAGGATACCTATATTATATTTGTAGTAAGCTATATTCCGATCATTCCTCTTCAAAATATTACCTCTCATTCTGTGTTACAAATATTTACAACTATCACAAACTCCGTTTAAACTGGCTTGCTTTCTTCAATAAACGGTTACTTTTCCTCAATATATTATGCTCCATAGTTCTTTTTATGTCGATGTCTCATTACCTAGGCACTTATTTTCCAACCTATAGAGTCAATATTTTACAGCAGAACTTTAAATCTAACCATATTCAGCCCCTCACACTGAGGGTTAGAATCGATAGTTTACTATAACTGGAGCCAAACTGATGAATACTCTCACAGTGACTGATTTTGATGTTGATGGCTTTAATGAATTCAAATTTTGGCTCAGTTATTCTCCTTGCCTTTGAAACACAAGCATAGTGATTTATGACTATTTTTGAAAATTTCACTTGCGTGATTGCTCTAAATAAACTCCCTTCTCTTACCGCCGTATCCAATAGCTAAATTGTACACCGATTTACATGTAAATTTATACAATCGTTAGGTGAAATCTTTCAAATTAGCATTCACTCTATTTTATGTCCGTTGTTATTATTCATAGTCAATTCACGTTTATTGTTATTACATAGTCTTATTCTAGTTTTTATTATTTTTAAATATACATTTATATTTTAGAAGATTTATACACCTAAATATTAAGTGATATAATAAATTAGTTGTATATAAGATATGATTTCTGTATAACTTCTTTATTCCGAACACACCACATAAGGTTCTACCTCATGGTAAAATAAAGCTAACACAACTTGACTCTCTCTTTCTGTATCTCTCTCCCTTTCTCATGTATATTCTACGTTACTACGCTGGTTTAGAAGTTAGTATGAGCTTCAGTGTAGCTAATTTGCAATTTATCACCTGGCGTCTAGAAGAGTATTTATGCAAGAAGTTCGCTCGTTAACCATGCATTAGTGCCGAATTCTATTTCTATTTTTCCTATAATTCATGGATCTCAATGATTCTATAGCCCAGCGTAATCTTCATAGCTAGGATATATTAATGCACCCCACACACACTATAAATAATTTATGAAAGCTTGTTAAACTACTTTGCCCGGATTCTTGAATCCAGGCTAAGTAGTATTGAATTACCATGAAATGGTTTTACATAATTAGTAAAAAGGTACGTTATTGGCAATGAAATGTATGATGAATAAATTCTTGAATCAATAATTCCAGACTTAAAAATAAGATTTTTGAAAAGATAAAATTTTTCTTTTTAGGAATAATGTAAAATTTTTTTGTAATTAATAAAATATAAAAATATGTGTTTAAATATCTATACGTAATTAGAACCGCTAAAAAAAATTGTAAAGTTTAATAAAAAGTTAGTTATTTATACAATAAATCTACTGCTTGTTTAAAAATTGAAAATTGATGTATTATTATTTTTCAAAAAATAATAATTTATCGCATCCAATTTCAAAAATGCTCATTATGAAATTTTGATTGAAGTTTAAAATAAACTTTTAAGCTGAGATATATTGTGATATAAATATATTCGGCTTAAGCATAACATGCATACTGGGATATACTTGGTTCAATTTTAGTATTTTGACTAATAACTCAACGCAATTTTTTAATATTTTGGACTTGAGTAAACTATAGCTCTAAAAGTGCCGAAATTTTTTTATATCAATCGCAGAGTTCTTTTCATACAATTCCACAATTTTATATGTAATCATTCTAGTAATTTATTTTTACGCGTTGTATGAATTACCTCAAATACTTTAATTGTACACTTCATGTAGCTTACTCATCGATTAGTTAGAAATATCTATTTTTGAAGTGTCAACGTGACTACAATCATTCTACTGAACACGAGTTTTCTAACTCGGCTTTCTGAGTTTGACAATCCACTCAAAATCTTCTGATCTTTCGAGCACGCGGTCACGTTAAAGACATGGAGCTTTATGGTTTCATGTATCTTAGTGAGCGCCTGCATTTGTATCGATATTTTCACACGATATTAGCTAATACTTGTTTTTGACTTTTTTCCTACTTTTAAATATTCCTTAAGATAAGGTAGCAAAGTTCATGCGACTACTGCATCAGTCAAAATCAGCCCGCTAAGAGTAATCAACAAATTTGTTCACTCTTAATTGTAGCAATGCACCTTAGTTTAATAAACGATTTATACTCCAGTTATTTTGCTCGAATAAAGTTTTCACCTGAAGTAATTTACTTATCAATAAGACGCTTCATCTAAATAAATTTTTATTCAAAGAAAGCATTAACGCGGTGCTACTAAATAAAATCAATGTTTTTATAATCATCTAAAAATATTACGATGTTAGTAAATATATTTACGTTATTGTATTATAATCTTTACCTTGCATTAGCAATTCGAGAATTTTCCTTGCTCTTCATCGAAATGCTCGCATTTGCATGTCTGCACATCATGTAAATAGCCATTGACAGGAACACTAAATTTGCCTTTAACATAATATATTTAAAGAATTATTTTATATCCTGATCAAACCTTTACTGATTTTTTCTAGTCTTACGTATGATTTATCTAATAAGCAAGTAAGTATTAGGCATACAGAGAGTGAGAAGAAAAAATAAGTAACGGAGACACAACATGGTATGGTAAAAGTGAAAAAGTAAGATAACAATATTCGTACCAATATTACCAGTATGACTGGCCCAACAAAGCTAAATATAAAGTAGTTATCGGCACGAAGCCAACAGTATCGATCGGTGCCATAACTAAAAGGATCTGCAAGGCTGGAGATAGTAACCACAAGAAGTGGTATACCGTAAGCAGCGAGATAATACCAACGAAGACGCGATTTTTCAGCTTCGAATACCTCAATTAACATAACGTACAGCTGAAAACCTGTAAAACAACGTCAAATGTTTAATTAGAAATGTAGTTTGTGATTTGAAACATATTTATTTACCCTCGAGGAACATCCAAGCAAAGGCGCTTAGAAAGAAAAATTGCAAAAGACCAGCGATAATACCACAAATTATTCTTTGGCTAGTTTGTCCTATTCCACAGATAAAAAGGAGTTCAGCGATGAGTAGACACATACATAAATTTTTATGGATAGTTGTCCGGTCCGACTAGAAAAAGACGATATTTGTAATTATTAAAGATATTACATCAACATTCAACGTTATAACGGAAATAAAAAAGTACCTTAAGGCCACGGAAAAGTTGAAAAGTGAGAATAGCGAGTATAAGACAGATTATCGATATTACACAGCCAATGTAGGTAATAATTTGCAGGGCAAGTTGGTGTCCGAGTTCAAGTCTGATATCATGTACATCCATAAGAACGGCAAAATTAGTAAGATGATTGCACTCGCAAACTGTATGCGAGTTATTACTGTAGCGTGTAAAGCAGCCTTCTTCGGACCAATTGTTAGTTGTGTAATCCCAATAAACGCATCGTGGGTTACTTACATTCTCTCGATTAATGTGTTCAAAATATAGGCGCACTGGTTCTGTAAGCTGAACGTGCTTGCCTCTCCCTAAAGAGGCTGAAATTACCTTGCTGTTGAGGATACGTGTTACGCTATTGCTATGATATTGTTGATGGTGATTTATGTTTTCACGTTCCTCATTCATAGAAATTTGTTCAAAATGAGAGTTGTCCGAAGGCTGTAAGATCTCTTCAAGACGTTCAAAAGCCATAAACACTAAGCGCACTAGTCTATCTTTATTGTCGCTATTCGCGAGAAGAGCAGTTTGTGTTAATTCTATACGATCACGTAACCGTGCCCAACGTTCTTGCTTCGCCGGCTTTTGTGGAAACACCTCGAATTCAGTGTTAAGATTACGAATTTCCAATACTCTTACTTCCATCACTGTAACAATAAACAGAATATTTAACCTATATTTATATTATTTATTTATATTTATTAGATATAAAGCTTTATAGGGGACTTAAACCAGATCAGCGGGAAGCCAATTTAAATAAAATTCTGGGAAAATATTAAACATGAAAATTAACAATACCAGATATTTTTTAAAGTTAAAATAATCTCAAATAAAATGACTATAAATACAAGGTATCCTATTTTAAACAAAACCATCTTGAAATTTTCTGTAGCTAGCGCAGACAAAGGGCCATCTTCTTGTCAAGATAGTTTCGATCTTGTGAAGTGACTTTCAAAGTCATTCAAAGGTCAAAGTTAACAGTGTACAAAAAACTGTTAGACAAAAGTTGTAGGTAATAGAGTCAAAGATCAGTGCCCTTGAATTCTATCTTTAGATTGATTTCCAGATCCAATCATAGCTGCTTTAGTTTTTTATTAGAGACCCATATGTATTATTATTTTTCGTATTCCTAGTAAGTAAATACATATATTTTGTATAGAATATTTCTTTAAAAGTGTCTTTCTCTCTCTATTACTAATAGGTACTATATTACATTTAAAGAGCCGATTTTCGAATTGGATATTCGTATAAAAATCACATGTTATACCAGAGATAATTTGCCTTATCAGAAATCACATAGCGCAGTTCGGTGCTTTGCCCAAGAATCATATCAAAATTATGATGGTAAATTAAGCTACTCCATAACATAATATGATCCTTAAGTTAGTTTATCTGACTATTTTATTAACCCTTAAATGCCATACGGGGTATAATTTACCCCAGCCCTTTTTCAGCGATCTGTACTTCCGTGGCCCTATCCCAAATTATAGTTTTGGCTCCATCTATCGTTAGTTGTGATGTTAGACTACCTGTTCATGCAGTTATGGCGGGTCAGTCTCTTGACAGCTGCCGAAGAGAGCGAACGAAAAAGAGGGTGGGGTTCAAAGTTCCCCGCTGTGTCATTTACGTATATTTGACCGTGGTGAACTGTGATTTTTTTTTCGTTTTTCTTGGAAGTAATTTTCAAATTCGAGGCGTAAGTACTACACTATACGCTATTATATATTTTTTTGAGCCGTTTTTTCAATGTTTTTGCAATATTTTAAATGTCGCGTAATTTGCGGAGTCGGGCATTACCAGCGTTAGCCGATTGCCTTGTTGATGAGACGTGAGCCATCGACGAGATGACATCAGATGATGGTGATCACGTATCAGAGCAAAGTTCTTCTGAGGAAGAATATGAGCCTTCTCGTGAAAATTCATCGGAAAGTGCTGCAGAGATGATGGATGTAGATGAAGATGACTTGGAAAATGCTAGTTTGGATCAGCGTCTGTTAGACGTTCAAAATCATCGAGAATCAAGAAACAGCAATGGCTGTGCGGGCAGACCAACGACGGTTTTGAGAGGGAAAAATGGCTACAAGTGGAATACAAAGGACTTCAGGTCAGTTTTATTCATCTATTTACAAGCGGAGCTCAGGTATATATGTACTGTGCGCGTCGTCTCTCTTGGGCGAGTATGGAGGAGCGGTAAAGATGAGCCAGCAGGGGGGGCACGCATAGAGAGAGAGCGAGAGAGAGAGAGAGAGAGAGAGAGAGAAAGGGAGAGAGAATAAAGGAAAGAAAGAGATCTGGGGTATTTCGGAGCACGGCGTAGTTCGGAGTCGTCAACTTTCACTTTCCAAAAATTATTTCGATTTCAAAATTTCTGATTGTAGATCGTGTATCTCCGGCAGAAGAAGGCAGAATCCCGGGTCCTATTGGACCAGCGGCTAATTTGACTGCATTAGAAGATTTTTGAGAGGTGCTGATGGTAAGTGAAATTTTTGAAAAAATTGCCCTGCATACAAATAACCAAATTGAGCACGTATGCGCTTCGATAATGGCCAGCAATCAGTTGTTACAGTCTTATCATCATCTCACGGATATTGTAGAAATCAAAGCGCTGATAGGTTTGTTGTATTATGCCGATTCGCGAGAAGACTCAAACGTTGATGTTCATAAGATGTGGGAAAAAAGGTATGGTATTAGCGTATATTGGTGTACAATGTCGCGAATGAGATTTACATTTCTTTGCATGTGCTTTCGTTTTGATGATAAGGAAAGGCGAGATAAAAATGACAGATTAGGAGCTATTAGGGAAATTTGGACTATTTTTATTACTAACTGTATGAATTGCTATAATGCTAGCTCAAAAACAACAGTTGACGAACAGTTGTTGGGTTTTCGTGGGCGATGTGTTTTTCGTATATAAAGATTTGCCATCCCCTTGCTGAAATCATCAAAACTTTAAAGTTTTATGGCTCAGTTTCTATAAGAGCTAGAAAATCCTGCGGGGTCTCATTTGAAAGGTCTTGCCAAAACCTCAAATGTTGTAAAACATAATTGATTTTATTTGTTTTTTGTACAACTTGTGACGTCATAAACAAATTGTTTTTTTTTAATTTTTTAACATCAACTTCGACCCCGATTTATTTATATAACGGATTCTACGATGGAAAAACTGTATAAGCCATTCGATAGAGCATTCAGAAAGCTACAAAATCCATATCCGGAAAATTTTTTTACCTTTATTTTTTATGAGCTATATGGTGTTTTATACAAAAACAAAGATTTTCAAAAAATGGGCTGTATTATTTTTATTTTCAACTCTAAAGAAAAAACTCTCAAAAGAAAAAATGTAGTATTTTGCAAGAGATATCAAATGCGCTACTCAGAATTTAAAAAAAAAAAATTTTTTTTCATGTTTTTTAGAATTGAAATTTTTTTAGAAAAAAAACTGAAATTACATATATTTAATAAAACTAGTAAGTAACTAGTATTTATAACTGAATAGACTTATAAACAATGATAACAAGATACATTTATTGTATTCGACGTTTGTAACAGAGGAATTTGCATTGTTTTCATTTTTAATGACTTTCTACAGTATTGTGCACACCGATAATCACTGTGATAATCACTGAGTGTTTACGTGGTTTGATTTACTTGACTTTCATGAATGTATACATATAGCAGAGAATACGTATGGAAATTCAGTCTCTTATCAGCTTTAATGAGTGAAATATCAATGTGTTCAATCTAGTCAGTAAATTATGCATGTATTTTTTGTTCATTAAAAATGACGAAAAAAAGAAACTTAAGCATTGAAGAGCGATCTGAGATAGTAGCCTTGCATAAAGTGAATAAAAGTAATAATGAAATTTCCAAAATTTTGAATATTCCAAGAAGAACAGTTGATTAGAACATTAAAAAATTCATAACTCAAGGAAATATCAAAAACAAAAAAATTTCAGGAAGGCTTAGGAAAACTACGAGCGCTACTGATAAACACATTTGTAGTACAAGTACACATAATCCAAGACTCACGGCATCCGAACTTGCTGTTGAAACTCAAAAAGCGTATGATGTTAAACTTAGTGTTACTACGATAAAGAGACAACTTCATGAAGATGGACTATACGGTCGAATAGCAATTAAAAAGCCTTTACTAAAACCGATTAATAAAAAGAAACGATTGACTTGGGCCAGAAAACATAAAATTTGGACCATTGATGATTGGAAAAAAGTTTCGTGGTCTGATGAGAACAAATTCGAGGTTTTTGGTAGTAAACGCAAATGTTTTGCGCGGAGAAAAAATAAACAAATACTACTGTGGGCAAAAAGTAAGGTGAATTTGTTTGTAAAATGAAAAATCTTTATTTATTCTTCTACATCAATGTCATCCCCTTCGAAGTAATCCCCTCCCGATAAAATACACTTATGCCAACGTTTTTTCCAATCCTCGAAACATGCCAAATAGTCCCTTTCCGGTATAGCCATCAGCGCCTTCTTCGATTCAGCTCTTATCTCCTCAATCGACTCGAAACGCGTTCCCCGGAGTGGTCTCTTGAGTTTTGGGAATAGCCAGAAGTCACACAGAGCCAAATCAGGCGAATACGGTGGTTGCGGAACGATATGCGTCGAATTTTTGGCGAAATGGTCACGAAGAACGAGTGCAGTGTGAGATGGTGCATTATCGTGATGCAAAAACCAAGAGTTGTTGGCCCATAATTCTGGTCTTTTTAGACGAATTGCTTCACGCAAACGACGGAATTCATAGTGCACCACACCACGAAAATCGAAGAAAACTGTCATCATGACCTTGATTTTTGAACGACTTTGACGTGCTCTTTTCGGTCTGGCCTCGCCTTTAGCACGATATTCGCTTGATTGGTCGGTTTTTTCAGGGTCGTAAGCATAAATCCAAGTCTCATCTCCCGTAATCATGCATTTGAGCTTGTCCTGATAGTCAGAAAGCATTGTTTCACACACATCAACGCGGCGACTTTTTTGCAAGAAATTGAGCGTTTTCGGTACCAAACGAGATTTGACTTTTCGTAGGCCCAAATGGTCTTTCAAAATTGTTTTCACAGATCCTTCTGATATTCCGATCATATCAGTAAGGTCTCTAACAGTCAACCGACGATTTTCGAGCACTAATTCCTTCACTTTATTGACGTGTTGGTCATCTGTTGACGTCGATGGTCGTCCGGAGCGCTCCAAGTCATCAACACGTTCTCGACCCTCTTTGAAGTCTTTGTACCACTTATAAACATTTTTCTGCGACATGGTAGAATCACCAAAGGCCTTCCGCAACATCCTCAACGTTTCCGCAGCCGAAATTTCATTCCGCAAACAAAATTTGATGGCACTTCTTTGCTCAATTAAATCAGACATTGTAAAAATCGAAACATGCACTCTTGGTCGTTTGGTAAACACAAGCGTAAATATATTACTGATGATGACATTGACATGAAATTTGTCCCAGATGTCATTCGCAGTCCTACCAACTCAAGAAAAAAAGAACTAGCCCGAAATGTTAAGCCCGCGAAGTTTAAATTGAAAATTCACCTTACTTTTTGCCCACAGTAGTACATTTAGAGAAAAATATGTGTGCTTCGGTTAAACATGGTGGCGGCTCAGTAATGGTATGGGGTTGTTTCGG